GACTGAGATATTATTCTAATTATAATATAAAATATCATTACTATACGTAAATTTATGGGTAGAACAAGTTTGCCTTAGATTATCACAGGTCGAAAAGTGAAAAATCAGGCACCAATCAGTCACCAATCAGGTAGCTGATTGGTGACTGATTGGCATTTTCGCCAAATACCGTCACCAATCAGGCAGTTTGCTAACTTTTGATCCAGTGATCAGAAAAAGTTGAAATATAGCTCATTGGAATCGTCTCAACAGGACGAATCTAATGGTAGTAAAATCGCATTTCTAGGATTAATACTTGATGAGAAATTAAGTAAAATATAAAAATAAAAATGTATCATTTATATTTTATTTAATTTTTTATTAACTATTAATCCTAGAGATGCGATTTTACTATCATTAGATTCGTCTTGTTGAGACAATTCCAATGAGCTATATTTCATTTTTTTCTGATCACTGGATCAAAAGTTAGCAAACTGCCTGATTGGTGACTGATTGATACCTGATTTTTCACTTTTCGACCTGTGTATAAAAGCTGTACTTTAGATAGTTTTTGAAAAAAATAGGAAAGTTTGATTTTATAAGCAAAATACAATTTTTTGTTTTAAAAAAGATTTTTTTTAATCAAATTTTCAAAATTTTAGTATGATTAGTATTTAACTCAGGTTTGTTTTACACTGAAGACCTCTGATTCTCTTATAAGAGTTACTACATCGAATCAGGCTTCATGAATAAGAGTTAGTATTATGTGATAATAGTAATATAAAAAACGTGGTTAACAAAAATAAAATACAATTTCAAATCAGAATTCAATTTATTAAAATAAATTAAATAGGACCTATATTTATACAAAATATAGTAATACAAAATATCCTTATTTCAAGAACTATGATATAATAAATGACATTATATATCCAGTTTATACTCGTATAATAGGAGTATTGTCCATCATCTATGTATAATATCTTTATATAGATCGTATCCTTGATCAGTGACCTGAAGTAATAGATTTGCATTACTGGCTAATCCTTAATTCTATTCCTTTAATTCTATAATTCCTACTCTACCTACAACTTCTGTTTTTCATTAATTTATGTTTGATTTCTGCTGGTTACAACACATTTATTATTTAAATTGAAATTTTTGAAAAAAAATTTATGATGTGTTTTTTAATTCTGGCCAAAATTATAATTTTCAGCCAGAATTAAGTGATGTGGTGACAATAAATACTGGTGATATTTAGTAATACCTTTTATTTTTTATTTAAACAAAACGTTGACTAACGTTTCAATTTTTACTTTTTGCAGATTTATAACTTCTGGATAAAATTTCAAAGGTAAAATTCCTTCAAAATTCTTTCATGTTTTTTTTTTATTTAGTGAAACGCTTTCTAACATTTCATTTTTTTTTGTAAGTCATCATCATTCCTGAAAAGAATTTTAAAGATAAAACTTCAAAATTCTTTATTTTTTTTTGTTATTTTTAATTTGCGAAATGTTTACTAACATTTTGATTAATTTTTTTTTGTAGAATTTTTGTTCTCTAACTCCTGGACGAAAGAATTTTGAAAGTAAACTTTGAAAAAAAGTAATTTTATTTTTATTTTTATTTAACGAATGTTAACTAACGTTCATTTCTTTTTATTGTAGATCCAGAAAATTACCAGAATTCTGAAAAAAATTTTAAAATTTTGTGCAAATTTTATTAAAAATTTTTTTCTAATATGCGTTGAGCCATTGACAGGATAGTAGATCTGCACAAAAATTTAGGCTGAAGATTTTCTCAGAATTTTACCTTAAAAAATTTACTGATGTTAGAATATCATTCATCTTATATTTTTTATTTGAAGTGAATGCTAAAAAAAGGACTAAATTGACAAAAAATTTTTTTTAAAATAACAAATATTCTGGATCAAATAATTAGATCTATATTACCAAATTTAGTGCACTTGAATTTTAAATTAAAAATCTACACCTTATTTACAACAAATTTTCCAGCATTATACCTTACTACTAGAGTTTCGCACAGGTCAGATCAGGTTGGGTTACCTGGTTAACCCAAACTAAAATTTTTTTTCAGATCAGGTCAGGTCGGGTAAACCGTTCTGATCCGACCTAACCTATTTGACCTGAAAGTATTCGGGTCACTTCAGGTAACTTGGGTTACCTGAAGTTTTATTATTAAATATTGTAAAAAAACGTTTTGTAATGTTTTTTACTATTTGTTTTTATATATAAAATGTCAAAACTATTTATTTCAGCATTTTTCCTTTTGATTTTACATGTAAAAATGCCAAAACTGATAGTTTCAGCATTTTTTTCGATTTTACATGTAAAAGCACCAGAATAATTAGTTCTGGCATTTTCTTTTTAATTTTACATGTAAAAATGCTGAAACTGATAGTTTCAACATTTTTTTCAATTTTACATGTAAAAGCGTCGGAATAATTAGTTCTGGCATTTTTCTTTTTGATTTTACATGTAAAAATGCCAAAACTAATAGTTTTGACATTTTTTTCAATTTTACATGTAAAAGTGCCAGAATAATTGGTTCCAGCATTTTTCTTTTAGATTTTACATGTAAAAATGCCAAAACTGATAGTTTCAGCATTTTTTTTTTTGATTTTACATGTAAAAACACCGGAATCATTATTAGTTTCGGCGTTTTTAATTTATTTGACCCAAATATATGTCAGGTCAACAGGACAGATCAGGTACCGACTAGTACTGACCTGACCCATGTCAGGTCATGAATTTGATGACCTGACCTGAATATTTCAGGTCAACCCGTCAGGTCACCTGATCTGTCAGATCAGTTTGCAGAGCTCTAGCTACTTACTACATTTTCACTTTTTATATTTATCTAAGGGCCAAAATTATTTTTTTCATATTTCTCTTAAATAAAATTGTTGATGTTATAACGGTAAATCCTAATCAGAGACCCAGGAAAATTCCATTTTTATAAATCAGAATTTTTGCTGTACAGTGACACCTCTATAAGTGCACCCTCTATAAGTGCACGCACTATATAAATTCTCTTTAAGTGCACAGTGGAACTGATCCCAACTTATAAGAGCTCTTAATATTTTACTCTCTATAAATGCACACCCTCTCTAAGTGCACATTCTACTATTTTTTTACTATGGTCCTAAGGGGGGTGCACTTAGAGAGGTGTCACTGTATTATGAAATAAAATGGAATTTTTATGATTTTTAACAATTTTATTTTAATATGTAACAACTAGCCAATCATTATTGCATATTTTATTGACTATATCATGATAGAAGTCTCATTAAAAAATGTGATTTTGCAATTTTGCAATATCTATACAGTTTTTGGTTAAAATTATTATCGTATCACTAGTGCAATCTAAATTGGCCAACATTAAGATGTAAGCCGGCTAGAATTATCAAATGTTTCTTACTATAATTAAAGGTCATCTAAAGCGGGAGCATCCTTATCCTGGGCCACGGTCCAAATGCTTATCCTGGACCAGCAAATCTAATTGGATGAGATTGTTTTGTGTAACATTTGTCTTGGAAAAAAAACAATTCACGTTTTTTAAAAAAAAAGTTACGAAATGCCTTTTTTTAAAGCATTTAATACTACCGTTTTAAAGTAATATGTTATTTAAATTTTGTATTTTGGTATGCATTTTATTAAACTTTATTAATAAATAAGTAAAATTGCATATATAACTTTATAAAAAAGGTCTTTACATTATTTTTTACTGTAATTTTATTATTAAAATTATTTTAACGTTAATATCAAAACAAAAGTACAAAGTAATAGTATTATATTAGCTTTAAAAGTTTTGTTATAAATGTGTAATTTACAACCTTTTTTGAACAACTTTGCTTAACCCCAAAACTTAAAAAAAAAACACTTGATTTCCAGAATAATATCAATATATCATAAAACTCTTCAAAAAGAAAATAAAAAACATTTAGTATTATCATAAAACTACAATAAATACAATTAAAATTAAAATATACAAACTGAAATGAAATATGAAATACTAAGTACTAACATACCACAAAAAAGAATAGAGAAAGAGTGAAAGATAGGAAGAGTAAGAGATAAAATAAATTATGCCGGAGTTATGTAATAAAAGGGCTGATTAGCCAATCAAAAGTTGACTGGTCCAGAATAAGCATCTGGACCGGTGAATCAGGTTAAGGATGGCCCTAAAGTGGGGGCGAATCACGTGACTTCAAAAAAAATTGTTTTCATAAAATAAAACTTTTTACTATATATTTAACCATTCTAAATATACATCCTAAATGCATTTTTGCCTGCTCTGCAAGTTTACTTTGAGCGCAGAGTAGGGTTTTGAATGCTATTTTTGATTTATTTGACTTTTTCAATTTCGTTATCCATTTTTGGATATGATCGGTAAGGTTGCTTGCCGAAACTTAGGGGTTTAGGCAAGATGGCATTTCGCCGAAAAGCGAAATTCTGCCAAAACTATATTAAAGTTATATTAAAAAACTGGCGAAATTTTGGAGAAAGGCGAAACTGCCGAAACTTATTATAAATGCCAAAACTGCCGAAACTCTGCCGAAATTATAATAAATCTATAGTAAAATTTTGACAAAACTAATCGTAGGATTTTGAAGAGGTTTAGACAAGCAACCTTAATGATCGGCAAAGTTATATGTAAAGTCAAAAACAATATTCAAAATCCACTTTTTTTTCTTAAGTAAACTTGCAAAGCAGATAAAAATACACTTATATTATGATTTTAAAGTTTCTATTAATCTTTCTTTATAAAAAATTATTCTAATTAAAATTACACCGAATCACGTGATTTTCCCCGCTTTAGACGACCTCTATAATTGGTAATTTTTTATCGAAATAAAATCGGAATTTTTTCCGTTATCGTGATAAAAATTTGCGATTTAATATCGGAATAAATCCGGGTCTCTGATCCTGATGGTAGTAATAATCACATGATTAAAAATTTTTTTTTATCAAGATGAAAGCGATCTTTCAATAAACAAAAAAAAAAATTTTTTTAAATAATGATAACATTTATAAGAAATACTAAGTCAAAATGTATTCCGCGACCGAATATTCATATTAATTTAAGAGTTTATTATTTGATATCGTTAAAAAGGAATAAAAGTAATAAAAGGTTTGAAACCTTTAGATTACATTTCGGAAATGACCTCACCAAGACTATTAGTGAACTTTCACCAGCCCAGACTTGGCCCTTCGCAATACATAATTATTCAACGACAGCAGAACATGCTATGTCCACTGTTTCTTCTGAAATAAGCTATCATTCCCCAGAACCGTTAAGCATAAATAACCCATTAGTAATCCTTCCTCAACCTCGTTATACACCCAGAGAAACGGGAAAAATACTCTTTACAGAACATCTCGCTGTTTTACGAGCGTGCTTAAAAATAGGAGAAGTAGAACGTGCAAGGCATATTTTAACCAATTTATATAAAAATTCAAGTGATACGAAAAAACATTTAGACATAAAGCTACATAATGAGTTTATTGAATCTTATTTAGAAACAAAACCTGTGCCTAGGATCAATGAAGCCTTACAATGGTTTGATAAATTGAATTATTATGGGCTAACTCCTGATTTAGCGACTTTTGCTATTTTAATAAGAGGTTATTTGAGGTGCGAAATTCCTTTAGTATATTCGTTAATATAGTTTTATTTTGGTTAAGCAAAAAGATTAACATTATTTAAATGAAAAATTTTTAAGATTGGATTTAGATTTTCTCGGATCTTCGATGTTAAATATTCTAGTAAAAGAAATTGAAGAATGTGGTTATTCGTTTGAACAATTAATTGAAAGTAATTTATTATCTGACAAAGAAACAGAAAAAGTATTATATGTAAGTTATATCTAAATGGAAAAGCTACTATATTATTGGTTTATTCAATGAAACTTTAAGATTTGATGTCAAATATTTATTATAGTTATTACGAGCAGATACAGATTCCAACAAAACATCAAAAAAGCTTATGGAAAAAATTGAGAATGTTATTGAAAAACAAACACCCGTTATGATAAATGAGTTGAACGTGGATGAGCCAATTTCTACAAAGGTATAATTTAGTTGATATACTTACGTTTAAAAAATATAATAAAATATCTTTATTCAAATCTTTCTAGTCGTTTGGAGTAAGGTTGATGAAAAGTGCTCTTTCGGCTATCAAGGAAAGAGATCTAGGTTCAGTTAAACGTCAAATCAAATTAGAAGAGAATGCATTACTAGCTGCTACGGAGCGTTGGAAGCATGGAAATGAACGAAAAGATAAATTTGTTAATTTGCAAAAGAATGTTTTGAAAAAATCAATGTGGTCGTGGCACGAAAAGTTAGTTCCTCTAATTCAAGAGGAATTGAAGAGATGTAAAAACAAAGATACCTTATTAACTGGTAAGTGCTTGAAATGTTTTTCTTAAAAATTGATCTTAAATTTTGAGTAAACTATGTTTATATTTACACTTATATTCAAAAGATAGAGAACGCGCAAGTTACGGACCATTTTTGCAATTATTAAGCGCTGAAAAACTTTCGGCTATTACAATATTAGAATTATTGCGTCAAAATGGCGGAGGAGGAATTGGTGAAGGAGTGAAAACTACACGTGCTGTGCTTTCGATTGGAAAATCGGTTGAGAATGAGTATAATTCAGAACAATTGAAGAAGAGACGAAATCGTTTTGCGGTACAATATATGTTTATTTTTTGGTACTATATAAATGTGCGATATTCAAGAAGCTTCTTATTCCAATTTACCTATATTATAGTTCAACAAAGATTTAAGCGTTCATGAACTGTTTGCTTCTGGAAAACTTTTCAATATGACGATTCGGCGAGCAGCAGCCAAATTTGAGTCAAAAGATATGCAAACAAGTTGGAACCCCGAATGGCCAATAGCCGTCAGAGCTAAGGTAGTATTTATTTAATTTTCAGTAATTTTACAAAATATATTTAATGTTTACTCTTTATTTCAATTTTAAAGGTTGGTTCTATCTTAGCTTCCATGTTACTAGAATGTGCAACTATACCAACTACTACTATTAATGAAGAGAAAAACGAGAAAATGTAAATATAATAATAATAATTTACTATTTTATTTATTCAAATGGTTAAGTTTTAATACGAATTTAGTTCTATGGAAGCACCCGCCTTTTATCATTCGTATATTCAACATAAAGGGAAAAGGACGGGAATTATTAAGTTTAATCCACAATTAATTCAATATTTGTCAAAGGAACCTGTCAGAGATAGTATACATCCACAAATGTTACCAATGTTGGTTCACCCAAGACCTTGGTTAACTTATAATAGCGGTGGATATCTTACATCTCCAAGTATGAATTATTATTATTTATTATTTCTCGTAAGATATTTTTATATCTTTAAATTATCGGTTTTAATACTTAAATTTATTTCTATGTAAGCATATGCTATGAGATCAAGAGATTGTCCCGAACAATTGGCTTATCTGCAAAAAGCATCTGAAGAAGGACATTTGGACCGTGTTTTCGCAGGATTGGATGTTCTAGGATCCACTTGTTGGACAATTAATAAGAAAATATACAAAGTAGTGCTAGAAGCTTGGAATAAAGGAGAGGCTTTAGGCAATATACCACCAGCTGAAATAGACTTAAAAATGCCCGATAAACCTGAGAATTTTGAAACTGAAATGTCTGTAAAAGTTAAGTGGTTTAAAGATTGTAAAGATATTGCTCGTAAAATTTGTAATAATCATTCTGAAAGGTGTACAGCAAATTATAAAGTCGATATTGCTGGTGCTGTAAGTAACTATAAATATTTTGAATTTATAAATAAACGAAACTTATAATTTTATTTCTTTTATAGTTTTTAAACGAAAATATGTACTTTCCTCACAGTCTTGATTTCCGAGGTCGTGCATACCCTATACCACCTCTGTTTAATCACTTAGGAAATGATTTGTGTCGAGGTCTATTACTGTTTAAAGACTCCAAACCATTGCGTAAAAATGGGTTGACTTGGCTTAAGATTCAAATTGCCAATCTAGCTGGGAATGATAAAGTTTCCTTTGAAGATCGTATAAAATTTACTGAAGACCACTTGGAAGATATAAAAGATTCCGCTAAAAACCCTCTCGATGGCAGAGGCTGGTGGATAAAAGCCGAAGATCCTTGGCAATGTTTGGCTGCGTGTTTTGAACTACAAGATGCATTAGAGTCTCCAGATCCCGAAAAATACCTCTCACAAATTCCAATACATCAAGATGGCACATGTAATGGATTACAACATTATGCGGCACTTGGTGGTGATTTGGAAGGAGCAAAACAGGTCGATTTATATCCTTCAGATAAACCATCTGATATATATACTAGCGTAGCTGCGAGAGTAAATGAAATGATAGCAAAAGACTTAGCTGCATATTCTGAGCCGTTAGAATCTCTGGAAGATAAAAAACAGAACAATTTATATCCTTTTAATATATATAGTGATATGGATGCGAAAATAAATGTAAAAGATTTAGCATTAATTTTGCATGGCAAGATTTCTCGTAAAATTGTCAAACAACCTGTGATGACAAGTGTTTATGGTGTAACTTTTATTGGAGCTAGGTTACAAATAGAATCACGTCTCAAAGAGAGACAAGATATTCCTCAGGAGAAAATTAGAGATTTATCATTGTATATTACTAGACTTGTATTTGAATGTCTTGGAGAAATGTTTTATGGTGCTAGGGCTATCCAGGACTGGCTTGTCGAATGTGCTAAGAGAATTTCAAAGAGTGTACCGGCAGAAGTTGTGTTAGATCAAAATTCTTCCGAATATAGAGATGATGAAAATTTCATTAATCATAATCTAGAAAGTTTACAATACAATGAAAACGGTAATAAAAAGAATACTATAAATGACAGTGAAAAAGAGTTATGTGAGAGTAAAAGGAACAACCACGACAATTTGATTAACAAAAAAAGACCTATAGCTAAAATTCCACCTAGTAAGCCAGGTCAAAATCAAATGACAACTGTCGTTTGGACTACTCCATTAGACTTGCCAATTGTGCAACCTTATCGTAAATTAAGCAAGAGAGCTGTCAAAACTAATCTTCAAACAATTAATATTTCAGATCCGAATCATCCTAGTCCAGTGGACTCTACTAAACAACGACAAGCATTTCCACCCAATTTTATTCATTCTCTCGATGCAACTCACATGTTAATGACTGCACTAGCTTGTAACGAAAAAAATTTAACTTTTGCTTCTGTGCATGATAGTTTTTGGACTCATGCTTGTGATGTGGATGTTATGAATAAAATAATACGTGATCAATTCATCCAACTTCATGAACAGCCTATCATGGAAAATCTACGAAATGAATTTATTGAGCGTTATAAAGGATATATAATTCCCGTTAAAATATTAAGAGAGGATCTTGAAAAATTAAAATTGCAAAAGATGGAAGAGACAGAAAAGAATTCGATAACAATAACAGATAATGGATACGAACCAACCCTTAGCTTAGATGATTTATATAAGATAATACCAAATTCTCAAAAGAACAAGGATTCAAAACTCAGAGAATTTACAAACACTTTAAGTGCTAATAATGCAATTGATTTGGACAATGAAGTAGCAAAGTCATTGACTGACATAACAAACATTAATAATATATCAGATGATTTATTCGATGAGGATCATGATATAGATGAGGAAGCAGAAACAAATAAGAAAAAGAAAAAATATATTCACATTTGGGTGGATTTAACTTTTCCAAAATTGCCAGAAAAAGGTGAATTTAAATTATCCTCAATTATGGAAAGTCAATATTTCTTTGATTAAGCTTTTTTTAATCTCAAGTTTAAATATTGATATTTAATAAATTATTTAAAATTTGGCAAATAGTCATATCATAAATTTTCTATTGTCACATTATATATATATGTATTTAAATGTTAATTAAAAATGAATAATTATACATGTAATTTAATTTTTTTTACATTAATATTTAATCTTCTATAACTTGCATGATTTGAAGTTATTTGGTTATTTTAAAATCTTATAACCCTATAATCTAAAATTATTATTTTACAAAGTCAAATAATAAATTATCATATAAATAATTCATAGTCCTATTATATTTATTTATTTAAAATAAAATAAAATCTGAAATAAAATATAAAATTTGATTTATATTTAATTTAAATTATAATAACCTAGAATGATTTAACCTACTAGTAAATTTTATATAATTAAATAATTTTGCCCCAATTTTCAAAAAAAAAAAAAATGTAAATTATAATTACAATTAAATTGAGAGACATTGTTAAAAATGTATGTAAGAAAAGTTAATTATAGTATTCTATAATATTCAAATAAATAAATCTATATAAAGTGAAATGAATAATTTTTTTTTTTAAGAAAAAAAATGATTAATATAAAATATAAATTTTTGAGGGATGATTAAATTCAGATTATTTAATCCAGAAAGCAAATTAGCAAAATTCTAATTTAAGTATTAAAAAAAAATAAACTTAATGATGAAAATAATGTTGCTTACTAAAAAAAGATTAGTTAAGTTGAACTGACATCTTAGTTTCAAATTCAAATACCACCAATATTGGATTATTAAAAAATAAGCCAACATTAATATCTATTTATTAAACACAAATTAATATTACTCTGCAATAGAGGTATGCTCCAGTAGAATTTGTTCAATCTGTCATCCATTTTTTGACTGAATCAGATGATTTAGATTAAGAATAAATGGATTTCAGAAAATTTGGATGGATCTGTTAAATAATACCAGATTGATCAGATATTACACAGATAATTGGATTGATCAGATTAATCAGATAATCTGGTCAAATCCAATATTTTTTTTTATTGGACTTGCTTTTTTTTTTAAAAAAAAAAAATACTTTTATTTTTAGAATATTTTTGGTCAATCTTCTCTTTCAGAATTTGGCTTAAATGACTTAGGATATTCTCTTTACTTTGTTTTTTTAGGAAACATCTTTTTGGAACTGAATTTCAGCTTAAAGATAAATTAGAGAAGAGGATTTTGTTTCTTTTTTGTTTTTTTATTTATTTATTTATTTTTCTACTATTTTTCTTTATTCTTTTTGAAGGATAAGACTGCGCACATGCCAATGGCCTCATAAAAAACGTTAGAAGGACACCATAACCTTTAGTTGAAATGTGTGGCCTAATCGTACACACTAATTTACCATGATGCATAGATTTCAGCTTTTCAGATTTTTGGGATATTGGAGAATCCCAGATATCACATATATAATTCATAACTGACCTGCATGAATTTAAGCATTTTTGCTCCCTCTAAAATAGATCTAATTTGCTAAAAATCAAATTATCACATTTTAAATATATACTAATTTGCTAAAACTCAAAATATAAGTTATAGTTAAATTCTAAATAATATATGATTTGTAGATTGGTAAATTTAATTTTTAATTTACTGAAATTAATAATCTTTTTTTTTATTATCAATAAAAAAATTAATAATTAATATAAATTAAACTGCCAATTTTTATAATTTACAATTAAAAATATGTAGATTATAGATAAAATAATAATTAATAAAAATAATAAATTAAAATTAAATATAAATAATTATTAAAAAATAAAATGTTGTAAAACTTAATTTTGGCTGGAATTTTGCCAAAATATAACTCAGACCCTAAAACTAATATTTTTAAAATTATTATTAAATATTATCTATAAAAGTTATAATTAAGGATAAATTAAATTAATTTTTAAAGTTAAAATATAAATAAAAGATAAAGTTATATGACTGTTTGCTCAAAAATAAGTTAAATTTTAAAAGAAATACCAATTTGCTTAAATATAAAATATGACTTTGTAAAATCAACACAATTTGCTAAAACTCATAATTATGACTATTAATTAATTTTCAATTAATTTGCTTTATCTAAAAGGGAATTACTAAACTTAACCGGGAGGAAATTTCCTCCCCCTCCCCTGTAATGTATTAAGCCGTTTATGACTAAATAATATAATTATATTATTTAGTCATAAACGGCTTAGACTAGGTTATTTAGTAATAAAATAATCTAACTATAACTAAATAATCTAAGTATGACTATAAATAATCTAAATATAACTAAATAATCTAAATATAACTAAATAAATTAAATATATCTAAATAATCTAAAGTTAACAACCTAAATATGATTAAATAATCAAACTAAATAACCTGTTTGTGTAAATTTTGTGTACCTAGTTATTTTTTCTTACTATATTCCTTCCCTTTGAATTCGCTTTTCTTTAGCCTTTTTCCGTTAATTATTTGTGATCATGTGATTAAATAATCTAAATACGACTATGCCTAAATAATCTAAATATACCTTTTTTTATTATGAGCTGTGTGTTAATAAATGCTTTCTCGTATAATTTATTCTGGTGAGGCTTCACGGTTGATCGGTTACTAAGTAGGTGGTGATTTGTTTTCCATTTTAAAGCCTTTTGATTACCGGCTGGGTATGTAGTGCCATGCTATCCTTCTTGGTTGCCAGTACTGGGCCAGCCGGTTTGGATGCTAGTTCTATATTAAGAATTTGCGTCTATTTGGTTGCCTTTCCAGATCCCAAAATATGGTAAAAAAAAATATCACGTCAGATGGCGCAGTAGATCTGTGATTAATTTCGGCCGGCACTTCAGAGGTCCGATAATGGTTTAATCTAGGTCGAGGCAATGTGTATGCTATTTTTTTGAGCGTCCCTAGTGTCCCTAGTGTCCCTAGTGTCCCTAGTAAAAGTAAAGTTGTGGCCGAATTTATGGAATATTACGTTATCAAAATTAAACAAAAATCTATTGTGCCAAAAATAATAATAAAATTTGTCTAACTTCAATATCAATTTTGGATATTCTATTGGGCGTGCAATTTGTATTAGCTTGGCCGGCCCATTTGTTTGCTAAGAAGTACACCATAACTATTGCGCCAGTATATGTATGCCGATTTCGTGTCTGTGGTTGGAGGTGCATTATGTATTATCATGGCCAGCCCAGAGAAGCGCATTCATATTGTATTTCCAGTATGTTTTCAGGCATATTAGGATGCAAAATAGGACGGATTTTTTCTTGTTGTCACTATGAAAATTTGTTAGTGACGCTCTTAGTGACGCTCTTAGTGACACCCCTTGTATGCTTTTTCAAAGTTTGGGGACGCTCGATTATCTTCCTTTGTATCTGTCACTATGTCACTAAGAGTCACTAAGAAAAAGTAAAGTTCTAGTAAAAAAATCGAAATTTTTCTATGCTATCCTATGGCTTATATGCGATATAGTATGATACATATATGACATATGCGTGATACATATATGCTAAAAAAAATGAAAAAAAGTTAAGGAACTCGGACTTTTCTTAGTGACTCTTAGTGACATGGTGACACCCATCTAGAAACCGTCCGAGAGCTCTAAAAATCTGAAATAGCTATAAATTTTGTCACCAAAAGCGTCACCAAGGGCGTTACCAAGATTTTCTCAGTGACAGTGACATCTTTTTTCTAGTGACAAACTGTATTATTTTTGTTTACCTCTAAATTACCTACCAATATCTCCGCCGAAGCTATCTTAGCCTGCTTTTTCCGATGGTACTGTTCCTTTTTACGGTGCTTTCTAGCATGTAGATCGCAAAACCCATATCCAGAATAAGTTCGTTTACCACATTCAATGCAAGGTATATATGAGGGAGAATTCCGATGTATTTGGCACCCTTTTGGATGGAAGCACCCCCGATTACAAACTTCTCCGGTCCTGAGAATATATGGACATCGATAAAATGTCATTTTTGATAACTATGAATAGTTCGATTATGTATCGATTTATATATTTCGGAATTAATTTTCATTTTGAACTTTTTTCTCCCGGAGTATATACTTTCTCTCGAACTGTATATTTGTTATATAATACCATGACCCAATCCGAGCTTTCAGAGTTCCTCGACGCGCCCGCCCTTTTTCACCCAAAGGCTGAAAAAGATAAAACAGAAGGGGTCCCAGAGGGACCAGGCCAGGTAATCCGCTATTCCGGTGAAAAATACTTGTCGGGCATCCCAACTCGAGATAATATAGTTGCGGAAAATGATGAGGGATTAACCGCAATCCTTGAAGACGCTCTATTCAATTGCCAAGAAATACCATTCATGGCCACTGATAATGAAGGATCCAGCCAAAAAATAAATGGAAAGTATTGCTATGTATTACGGCTCTACGGTTCTCTCATTAATGGCCAAAAAGCGATAGTAATCCTTTTGGGAATTCAGGTTTTCTTTGACGTTCTTGTTCCAGACGGAGAGACTCCAGATGAATGTGAAATGAAAATAAGGGATATTCTCTCTGGGGAGGTGGATACTCAAAAAATTGAGCATATTAAAGCTTTCCCTTTTCGGGGTTATCATACAGAAAAAAAGACATATTTACGAATCTATATGAGTGGTACCGGTAAAAGAAAAACAGCCATTATGGCTGTTCAAGATAATAATTACGAAACTGCTTCAGACGATTTATACTCATTCCACCGTAAGGTGGCTCGAGAGAATGGAATTCAACTTTCTGGGTGGTCTATGCTGGGCAATTACATGTACAAGAAAAGGATTGACCCTCTCTGCCCCCACACATTTTACTTATCTAAAAAATATTTTCAACCCATTAAAGACCTTACTACGATAACTGATCGTTTCCCTATTTCAGCACTCAAAAGGGATCGTACTGTTATCCTCACATGGGATATAGAAACGCAATCACAAGAGTTGGGTGAATTTGCCGAAGTCCTTAATCTGAAACAAAATGTCTTTATGATTTACATGACACTGCATTGGAAAGATGATCCAAAACCGCTAAAGCAAATATGTCTTGTCGACATTGAGACAGAACCAGATCCACGCTGGACCACAATCGTATGTGGAAACCAAGAAAATCTGCTAAAGGCATTCGCTCTCTGCTGGCGAGCATTTGCCCCTGACATCCAAGTTGGGTTTAACGATTCAGACTATGATTGGCGTTTCATTATGGAAAGAGCCTATCATCTCAACATTCTCGAATGGATATGGGAGCGGATGACAGGAAAGTTTGAAACAAAGGAAGAAATTATAAAGTGGAAATATCGTGGAAAGATAGGAGCGAAATCCGAAAATACTTTTAAGAAGAAAGAAAAGAAAAAGAATAGTGAGGACAGAGATAGTGAAAATACTCTTCACATTCTTGAGAATGGAGAGGAGGATACGGAAGTCAAAGAATTTCTGGGCGGTCCGATTAAGATCAAAATTTCTGCAGAAGATAATTTCTTTTCCAGCTTCCTTAAACTGCCAGGATGTGTACCAATTGACGTTAGAGTTTGCCTCAAAAAGCGTTACCCCCGTTCTGAAGTCGAAAAGGAAGGCTCACTTAAATTCTTCTTACAAAAATGCGGTCTTGACGCTAAAGTTGACATGCCATACAATAAAATGTGGAAAACCTATTCAGAGGCGAAAAAGAACCCGTCCCCATCAACTGCAAGAAAAATGCGGGAAGTAGCATATTACTGTATTATAGATGCACTGAGTTGCCAGGAGCTTTTGGTAAAGCTAAGTCAAATAAATGAATACAGAGAAGTCGCTTCTATAGCTTATGTATCTTTATTCGACTCACACTATCGCGCAAATGGAATGAAGGTACGAAACCTTCTAGGCGCTTATGCTTTTAAACATGATATGCTATTTAGCGCAAGGATACCTGAAAAGGTGGAAAAGGGTAAGTATCCAGGCGCATATGTTTTTCCACCTAAAAAAGGTATCGAGACGAAAAGGCCGGTAACGGGTTTGGATTTTAGATCTTTATATCCAAGCCTTATTATGGCCTATAACCTCTCTCCAGAAAAGTTTATATTTAATCCAGAGGAGGCTGTCATTATAAAAAAGAATGGGAACAGTTTACACGAGATTAGCTTTCCATTCAATAAGCGCACTATTCAAGCTTGGTGCGTAAGACATGATAATCGATCTGAGAAGAAAGGTTTATACCCGACCGTATTAGAGGAATTATTTGCGATGAGACAAGAACTTAAAGCGCAACTTGCCTCATTAGGAAAGAAGAAGGATCAACTTGGAAAGATAATAAGTTCGGTGAAAGAAAAGGGTAAAAGAATTACTGAGAAGTTAGATTTAGAATATAAATCTCTTTGCTTCGAATATGACTGCTTGAATTCAAAGCAGAAAGCTGTCAAGCTATTTATGAATACCTTTTATGGAGAGGCCGGAAACCCATTATCTTCAATCTTTCTCCGTGCATTGGCCGGAGGAACCACTTCCGCTGGCAAATACAATATCAAACTTGTTGCAGAATATGTGGAAAAGAAAGGCTTTGGAACCAAATATGGGGATACTGATTCTTTGTATCTTACCTGCCCAGATAAGTATTTTGAAAAATGCGATGAAGCCTTCTCTAGAAAAGAACTATCCAAAGAAGCGTACTGGACCGAAATGGTCAAAATTACTATGGATGTGATGAAAAAGTTGCGCGATCAGATAAATGCTTATCTTAGGATAAAAAGTGGGACCTCTTATCTAAAAATGGCTTACGAAGAGGTATTATTTCCCGTCTGCTTTACTGGCAAAAAGAAGTACTTTGGAGTCAGGCATGAAGATGTAGTAAACTTTAAACCGAAAACCCTTTTCATGAAAGGGATAGAAACTGTAAAGCAAGGTAAATCCCAGCTTCTCAAATTCATCGGAGAGAAAATTATGAGAGAGGCTATGGATATTAATAATACACGCTCAATTCACGATATTGTTGAAGCTACTCTTAGAGAAGCCCAGAACAAGGAATGGGATTTCAATGATTTTATCGTAATGGGTACATGGAAGCCTAAGAAAAAAAATCTCTGCAACAATCGCTTTATGGAACGTATGAGGGAGAGAAATAAGAGGATTCCCGATCCCGGCGAACGCTTTAGCTATGTCGTTGTGAAGGGTCCCCGTCTTCGCAATGAGAAAGGCCGGTTAATACCGGTTAGAGTTGGAGATTATATGGAGTATGCGGACATAGCAAAAGAGAAAAACATGGAAATAGATATCAATTATTATTTAGGCACTACGGTTGGAATGTGCGCACGCTTTATCAATGAGGATGATAGATACCAACCACCAGCTTCACATAAAATTATGCAACTTAAAGATTCGGATGAAAAGGAAAAGCAGACCGACAAATATTCCCAGGATGAGGCAATAAAATGGCTTAAAAAATATATAAAAGACTTACAATAAAATTTCTAGGTATTTCGATGATTCATCAGAAGCCGATATAGACGATATTATCGAATTATATGGTTAAGTATTCTAGAGGAGGTGTGGCAATTTCAGCTAAGAATACTTAGCCGTTAAGGCACTTCGTACAATATTATTTGTATATTTTTTCTCGTGTAATAATACTGGCTAACTTCAATTCCTATATTCGATCTAGTCACGAGGTGATGAGATGGTCGGCGTTACAAATTGTAACGCGCACGTGACTGACCTCTTCCGGCCTCCAATCATATATCCCGACCTCAGATATGTCTGGAGATAATCATTAGTATTTTGCATATTAAAGTTTACGATCAGCCGAAAATCTGCATATTTTAAACATAGTCTTTATTGGTATAATGGCCGAACTACGTGACCAAGTTTCCCAGTACATAGGATTCGAACCCAACAAAATCTATCTCCCGATCACAGAAGAGGATAGATGGGTGTTTCGTAAAATAATAGCAGATCAGGAGGGAATGGCAGATATCGTAATGGACGACTATCGATATTTACTACAACACGGTAGTCGACTAGGATTTGAGATGATAAATATCTGGCCTATTTCTATATTTTTTGTAGGTGAAGTATCGGTCACTTTCTTTCGGCTTGGCGCTCCACATATTCCATATTTTTTTCCCGACCACGAGCCATATAATTGCAATCAGTAGTAAGGTAAGTATGGAATATATTAACATAGGCGACATTAAGGAGTCCGCAACAATAGGAATAGCCGGTACTAGAGGTATTGCTTGGGCTGATGATACCATTTCCGCACCACTTGCAGAAATAATTTGGGATGAATCATTCATAGGCGGGAGTGGAAGGGATATTTCATTATTTTCCTTCAATTCTAACTGGTCCCTGAAGGACCTATTTTCCTCCCTTAATTTTGATCACGCTGAATACAAAGCATCTATTTCCCGTCTAAATATGCTATTTGATGACTCTATTCCCTTTTCCATACATTCTATTGTATATTCTTTCGAATTACGGTCTTCCTTTACTCGTTCCAATTCAAGCCTAAGAGAATCAATCTCTTTAAGATCGGATGAGCTTATTTGGGCTGGCTCTTCTACCACCCCTCCCGTTGCATCCAAATCATGATATGTACGCTCTAGATCTATGTCCTCCAACTTACCTTCCAATTCGCGTATTTTAGTTTCAAGAGAAAGAATCTGGACCTTGTCAGCGGACGAAGCTTTCTGGGCCAAAGTCGCCTTTCTCTTCAGTGTTTTAATCTCTGATTTGAGCAATTTGATTTCGGCAGTATATTTGGCTTCAAGCTCACGTTGTCTCTCAGAATGAAACTTTCGTTCGGAAATAAGTTGGGATCCAACCTTAGTACTGGACGCAATTAACTGGCTAGTTTTATTTACAATATCGGCATAGGATCGTTAAAATTCCTCCTCTCGCTCTGAATACTCTGAATTTTCGGCCTGCAACTTTTCGTTGAAATCAGTAATTTCAGAGTTAAAATCGATAGCAATTTTTAATTTTTTTTCGAGCTCTTGCTCATATGTACTACCCAGCCGATGTCCTCTATCTTTTATATCCTTCAATGTATGTACATTGGACATAATCTTGGCATGGTTATATAGCAGGAAAAAAAAATATGTTGCATTTTTTTTGAGACCACGTAGTCCCGAAATTTCAGAAGCACTTTATTTTTTCTATATATCGATACATATTGGTGGGCATTGAAATATATCAATAATATATTGAAAATTATTAATACGTATTGAAAAATATTGAAAAATATTGATATGCACATATTGATACGCATTGATATTTATTGAATAGTATTAATATTTTTAGTATATATAATCCAGTAAAGATGGTAGCCCGTATCCATGATACATATTATGATGCTAAGGCAACCCTGTTATCAGAAGCCGACATCAAGGAAATTAGAGAATCCAGAGGTAGGATACCCAATGCAACACAAAAAATGGCTAGTAAATTTCATATCGGACCTAAGCGTGTTTATGAAATATGGGATAACAAAGAACGCCTTCAGCAAGGGGTGGTCCCAGAGGGAGTAGTTATTTCATCTTCCTCCGGTCAGCCTGTTTTGGACGAGAATTCCCAGACTGATAAGATAGAACAGACTGAGTCAAATATACATGGCCAAAATACATCCCCCTTTGCAGAACTGGAAAAAAATATACG